TTTGTTTGCTTCGGAGGTTTGTAGGATAAGACACCAAGATCTACGAAGGTCCATAGATGCAGGATGTATATATGTGTAAACAAAAGTGAAGCAGTAGTGACTTCTTTCGTTCTAAATATTGTACTTTCTGTATCTAAAGTGTTACGGCCGTGACAGTTGACATCCAGAAAGGAGGAGACCTCCTGTCTCCAGCACAGATGTGCCTCATCTGCCCTGTTTAACTTTGCCTCCTAACCTTATAAAGCCCATGGCAGCGAGTCAGTACAGATTCTGTGCCATGTGCCGAGGAGGTGACAGGAAGACGGATAACCGAGCTCAAGGCGGGATGTGTCCTTTCATGGGGTGAAGGTGGTGCCAAACTGAAGAGCGCAAACAACCCGAGCTCTGGTTTACATCTGTCAGAGTTCACGGAACCTCAACTCATCTAGAGGAGATGGTTGAGGCCTGTTACAAACAGACTGATGCTGATGGTATAGGATTTTATTTGACAGAATATTCAGAAACAAACATGATAATGATCTCTCACTGCAGCTGAAGAGCAGCTGCTGCTCAGATGCTGATTATAGCAGAAGCTGAAGTGAAAGAGTGACAGTGAGTGAGATGAGAAAGAGCCCCCCCTTGTGGCCGATGAACAAAGGGAGGAGTTTGGCACCGAGTGTCTGAGATCTCTTTTAAAAAAACACCTGTGCTTTCATCACATGGTGAAGAAACGTTGACTTTGGTTCCTGCATTATCAGCTGCTGAATAATACATGCTGCGAGGTCATAATATCAGCTTCTCCCTTAAATGTGCTAATCATTAAAACTTTGAAGAGCAGCAGCAGCAGCAGCAACAGCAGCAGCAGCAGATTTCTCTCCACCTCCCAGTCAGTAATAATGGACTAATGGGAGGTGGAAGTGGTGAAATAACGCAGTCAGGGGCTGCGTTAATGTGACCACCGCCCCCGAGCCGACTGATGTTACATAGGAAATACACAAAATAAAAATCGCGAAAGTGCAGAGCTAACGTAGCTTCATTATTACAACATCCTTATACCAGTTTTCAAAATGAATCGCGAAAGTGCAGAGCTAACGTAGCCTGGGATAACTTCATTATTACAACGTCCTTATACCAGTTTTCAAAACTACAACGGTGATTTATTATTGTTTTTATGTCCTAAAAATGTCCCCGCACCTGAGTTTTGTCCCAACTATTACACTTCAACTGCGTCTTGGCCTCGAGTCATCCATGTTGCATTACACTTGAAATAATAATTTGAGCACCTTTTGCAAGCAATGCAAAAACTCATCAGGGACCATTTGATTCATCTGCTGTTACAAAATCCTTTTAGGAGTTGGAGCAAAATCGCAGCTGCTGCGAGAACAAAAGACCTTAAATATAACAACTAAAATGTCTTTGTAGTATTCTAAACCCTTTAAAGGGACTGAGTCGATGAGTTCGACAGAGGCTGTATTTTTAGATCGACTTCATTAAACGTGTATCTCTGTAAGTCACACGAGGTGAGGTGAACTAAACTTCCGGTGAACTTCTGCTGAGCCTCAGAGGCGGCGGATCTTCCTCTCCGTGTGTCTCTGTCTGTCAGTGTACGATCCTGCTGTGGCAGGCGTCCGCGGAGCCGCCGAGGGTTTCCTTCAGCAGGATTACAGAACAAACCTGAGAGACCGCACCTCACAAATGGACCCAGTCCCACACACGTTGGAGCCAAATGTTTATGTGGTACACGGTGAAGTACTGCAGGCTGTAGAGGCAGTACACACGGAGTGAAGGCTGCAAATACTCAAAAGGATCAAAACACAATATCACGCTGAGCTGAAAACGACAAAGACCTACAACTGCCTTTTAGAAGTTGTTTTTTTTTTTTTTTTTTTTTTTTCCAGCCGGCTGGAGCTCCGGCTGTCACGTCGTACTGTGTCCTGTGCTTGGTGGCCGCAGTGAAATGTAAAAATTAGGACAGAAGATGTTGAATCACAAAGTGACGACTTGGACCATTTGGCAGCGCAGCACACGATAACTGAGACAAAACAATGGTTGTTCAGATCATTAGTCACTTGGTCCTGCAAGAACTGTTGAAACTCTTAAAAAGGAAGTCCTTTTTTTTTGTTCTTGTTTTTTACTCTACCAACTTTTTCTTGGCTGTGTCGTGGTGACGAGGCCTCATTAGTTTTTCCTGCGTCTCCTGTGACTGCAGTACAGCGGTGTTTACCATAAAAAGTGGGGTCATCTGGTTCCAGTGACATGATTACTGCCCACTCAGTGTCAACGGTGAGTGGGGGAGAATTACATGTTTAACTGGCCACCTGAAACAGTAGAGGCCCGGCCGCCGCCTGTAATCCCACGAGCTGCCGTATCAGTTGAACACCGCGCTTTAAGAGAAGCCGCTTGATGACATTCAAGACTGAGACGTTCATCTGAGTGTAGACCGTACTGTATCTGAAGAAGGTTGGGTTCACTGGGATGGAGGCCTGTGTGAAGAAGGTTGGGTTCACTGGGATGGAAGCCTAAAAAATATGTAAATTCCTTTGACTTCATTAATCAAATGATTAAATCTTTTTTTTATCTAATTAACCCCAGGGTAGCTCTGGATTAATCTGTATTAATCCAGTTTAATCCTGGTTAAATTACATTCCTAAATATGATGATTTTTTTTTCAGCAGATACATGTCAGATGCACACTCTCTCTGCCTCGTGTGCGTGTTCTTTGCGAGCTCGCCTCAGATTTCAAGATATGCGATTTAATCAGGAGGCAACAAGTTTCCCGAAACAGGAGACTCGGTCGGGATGTTGGCAGTTAACTTTATTTAGCCCTGGAACTTGAAAAGGCAACCAAACCCTAGTATTTCCTGGTTAATTACAGTTGTGAAAAGGCGTCAGTGAGACGTCGGAGGAAACGGTTTTTGTGTTGGTGGGTTTGATCCCTGACTTTGTGATTCTTTTGGCGTCACTTTCAAGAACTGTATTAGTGAATGTTTTATGATGAATACTGCACGAAGACGTACAGTGAATGTGTGAATGTGACCGTGCTCTGAATTATTTCTAAATAAAGAACATTTACCGTTTACGTCACGCTGAGTCACAGGCCGTGTCTTGGTAATTATTCTGGAACGAGTCTCTCAAGAAGACGGTATATTCTGGAGCTCGTATGACCTGATTTTTTTTTTTAAATATTATGTGACTGTTCAAAGAGTTGTAGTTTTTCTTTGTCATATTTATGAAAACGTAAAAGACATTTTTATTTTAACATGGCTTTGGTGAAACGTTTACTAAAAGGTGGTCCTGGAATCTGGGCTCTGGTGGACGTCGTCTCATCTCGTCTCATCTCGTCTCGTGTCATTTCTCTGTATGTTCCTGTGAAAGTGCTAATGCATCAAATGTTCTCTCTGGTCCCCGTGCACCAGGCCCAATGCTCTCCGCGTTGCCATGACGACAAATTTAACAGGTTGCAATTATAGAAAGTGCTGTACCGCTGGGTGTCTCACAGACAGAGGGGACGCTCTTATTTCTGTTTGTGAATTCCTCTTCCTTTCTGTTTGCAGTACAACGCCGCGCTCCGTCGGCCTGAGCTTCAGTTTAATCATAAATATCTGATGAGATTGTACGTGAGGAGGAGGAGGAGAGACCCGGGGTCGTCTTTAAAAAAAAAACACACAAGTGATGGAATCAGCTCCCGTTAAAAATGGAAATCTTTCATCTGTGACAGTGAGATAAATCAGGAACTTCAGCTTCTCTGTCTGGAGTAAAAGTAAAAAACCTCCTCAATGACTGTATTCTGCATCTAAAATACTACCAGTGCAGTACTGTAACGTAAAACCACAGCGTACGACAAGTGAAACAGCTGGTGTGTACCAGATCTTTTTAAATGATTCAGTAGCGGTGGAAGACAAACCCGTCCTCCCCCGATCATCAAACCACGGGCGGCGTTTGTGTTTCCGTGGGTTCATTAGTGTCTGACCGAGGAATTTCTCTGTGTCGTGACTCTGACGTCATCGTCGACGCAGCCTGGCCACAGATGCAGGAGACGGTGTTGAAATCTGTCTCTGAGTCACAGGTCAAACTCAAGGCCCGTGATCCAAATCCGGCCCGCTGCATCACTTTATGTGGCCCAGTAGTGTTTGTGAAGTGTGTGGTTGGCTCAAACAGTGGCCCCCAACCTTTTTTTTGGTACAGATGACTGGACGGCCGATACCGACCGTTACTGTGGAATTATCATTATATTTTTAATGTAAAACATTTTTTAGACTTCTGGTCATTGTGTCCCACTGCGGGCCGGTACCAAATTATCTATGGACCGGTATTGGTCCACAGACCAAGGGTTGAGGATCCCTGCTCTAGAGTGAAGAGCCTACACAACATTCCTCCTGATTCTAATTTCCCTTCTTCCAACTCGTCTATTTTTCATCAGTTACGTTTCCTGCTGCACATGTTAATGTCACGACCCCCCCCCCTCCACCCCCCCGACATTCTTCCCAACCTCTGGTCTGTTCAAATGATGTCAAACTTGGACTTGGTCTTCTAAATTCCGACCTCTTGAATGATCGACCAGATCGACGTCTGTTCTCAGCCTCGTGACCTCGGAGTCGGGCAGTGACCGCCGCTCTACAGACGGTTTAATGAGACAGTAAAGCATGTCCAGCTGTCGGACACATCACCGGGAAACACCAGGGGGCGTCGGCCTGTCACATGGAGCGACTGCTCCAGGGCCGGGCCCATCGCTGCCGACTGTGGAGGTTGTCAGAGGCAGAGAGGAAACACAGGCCTCTCTGAGTTTCTCATCCATCTTGTCTCTCCTCTCAACCACCAGGCAAACACACACACACACACACACACACACACACACACTCACACACATACACACTAACTGTCAAAGAGCACCAGAGAGCATACACAGATCTGTGCAGACTGCAGCACCTCGGCGTACAGCTCAGCTGATAGTTACCATGGCGATGAGGCTCTATGTGACATTTGCAAACAGAGAAAAGGAAAAAAAAAACACACAAAAAAACAGGGGACGTGGAATTATGCTGAAGCGTTCAGAGATGGAAGATGTAATTAGGGGAGAGTGAGTCACGACCGGACGCTCGAATAAAACTGTTCAAGTCTATATTTAATTCAGCTTGGTTTTCAGTAGTTTCAGTAGTTGTTTTTTTTTTAGAAAAATATAGAAACTTGTGAATTGTGTTTGGACTTTTTCCTATCAGGGTCAAAGGTCATTTAAAAACCCTTGCATTTCAAGTTATCCACGGTTTCACAGTTTACACATTAAAACTGTGATAAATGTTTTTTTCTAAAT